CATCTGTTTTTGGTTTTTTTTTAGGTTCAAAGCAGCTGATGGAAGAGAACTGGATAAGGTAAGTGATGCTGGAGATTTTCAAACAATCACCCACACCACCTTTCAGTTCTAAGTTCCTTCCCCTTCCCAAAGCTGCTATGTGCATTACAGGGAAACATGTGGCCACCTGTATGATGTCTATATGGTTTTCTGCCATAGGTTAAATAGCTTCAGGGGGACTTTTAGACCAGGAGGGGAGGTTAAGCGCCATTCCATTGATTTAATGGAAGAGGCCTGCTTTAAGTTTAACATACAAAAGCACAATCTCAATCATAAATTTCCAGTGTATGATCTAGCTTTTCCCTTACACTTTAAACAGATGCCATGTTGATTTCAGAGTGATGTTAAGTACCTCCGATGGGAACATTAGCACAGAGTTTTATTGGGTCCTGTGAAAGAAATGAGAGAACTAAAATATGGCTCGAATCACGGACTGAAGTAACTGAAGCATCTATTCAAGGTATTTCAATTGCCACATTTACTGTATCTAGTAGACATATTGATTTCAGATAATGCAATATGGAACTGGAGGATGGCACCAAAACACAGCATTACCATACCAAATACCAGGCATCTGTTCTAAGCAGCAGTCAATTTATAAATATAAGCACCCAGTGGAGAATGTTTAAGGTTGGCTCTTTCTGACATCTGTTTCACCAATATTGTTCAAAATCATCATTCTAGATCCCATCTATGGAGGATGGAACACAGCAGTAGATGAGATTTCATTGTTCTTCTTCATTATGTCTTGGTTTCAAACTACGAGCAGATGGAGAAAGTTATTACCAGGGCTCCGTGGACTTTTGTGCAAGTGTTACCAGAAGAATTCTCGCAGTGCAGTGCCACAATATAATCTGGGGTTGTGCTCTATCACAGCATGAGAAACATACTGGATAAGGAAGATCTAGGATATAGCACAGAAGCTGCAGTGGGTAATAAAGGTTGAGAGAGATATATTGAAAAAAGTATTTCAGAAGAGCTTGCAGAAACAGAAGAACTTCTCTGGATTTGGGGTCACTTTTCCCCAGACCACTGTTTCACTAAGCTCAGAAACTGCCTTTCTGTGAGAGGTAGAGGGACACTTTGGGATCAAACTCAAAGCATTCCCATCAAGGCCTATTCCAGCCTTGAAATGATCATTGTTAATAAATTTACCAAGCCTACATGCAAAAACAATACATAAATAAATGTACTGATATATAAACTCAGCTCATGGCTATTGTGACTGCTTTAACAATAGAAAGGGGTCGTTTGCTTGCAACTAACTAATCTTTCCCAAAAGGAAACCACGTAGATCCTTTAATACATATTTCTTTGGCCTGGTTCACAAGAATTGGCTGGTTACTCTGAGAGAGAAATGGACTAGTTTTCCACACAGGCAGGGAGGTCATGTCATGGGAGAGCATTTACCAGGAAAAACACACAAAAGGAATATTAACTTAACAGAAATCAGTGTATTCTCAACATCCTCAGAGTTAAAGCAATGCAGTAGAGTGAACTACAGAGTATTTAATTGCTTCAATAATATGTCCGTAACTATGATTGTAGCACCGTACAAACTCAATTGTCCCAAACAAATATTTTGAGCTACATGCAAGCATTTATTATATGAGCTCATAGCTGCATTCTGAAGAGGTACAATATGAGAGTTGTGCCACAAGTATACCGCTAGGCAAAGTACGATACATAGTAGACCTTCATTGATTTTCAAACCAACTTCTAGGATGGATTACAAAGAATTATAGAAGTATTTTAAGTACCCCAAGGCTATTGGGAAATGAAAAGACAAAGGGCCTGTTTGCAAAGGGGGTTGAAATTCATTTTAAATAGTGAAAGTTCTGCCACCCTTGTGGCTACTCTGGTCTCTTATTTATAACTGCCAAGTTGGACAAGTGCAATACATCTGCTTGACATGGGCTCTGGCAACCCCAGAAGCTCTTTACAGCAGCATAAAATTCCTAGGCTGCGCACCAGCCACTGCAATATCTATCCAAAAGTAAAGTCTCCAAGTTCTAGGTCTTTTTTCATTTCTTCTGCTGCGTAACCTGTTTTTCAAGATCTATTTAGTGGTAGTATTTATCTCACTTATGAATCATTTGCCATGAGGCATCCCAAAGTGATTTACAATATAATAGAAAATATATAAAATACATAAAAAGCTGACACAATTGCACATGGAAGCAATTTAGAAACAATAACAGCACATGCATAAAATCAATTCAAATATGCCACTGATGCCAACTGGAATAAAGGTATACTGCTTCAAACTTCTCATAGACACTAACTTAGATACCGGTATATTTAAATCTTAATACGTGTTGTTGTTGTTGTTTAGCCGTGTCCAACTCTTTATGAGCCCATGGACCAGAGCACGCCAGGTACTCCTGTCTTCCACTGCCTCCCGCAGTTTGGTCAAACTCATGTTGGTACTTAATCTTAATAAATCTTAAATGTACTTAATACAAAGCACAATGATTAACATCCCCTAACACCAGCCAGCTACAAACGCCAAAATAAATTATAAAGGTCTGTATCAATTCATTAATTTACTAAGCAACCAATAAGCTATACAATTAGATAGCAATTTACTGATTGTTCACTTTTGCTACTGAAAATTTTGTCAGTTTGACTTCAGCTATGTCTATGCAGGGGTGATCTCTTAAACAATGGGTAGCTCAGTGTGTGTGTGTGTAGTTGGTGCAAGCATGTCCACTTTGCTTTCCTGATCCCAAAATAATGTCTTCTGCCTACACCAGTGTTCCTTTATTCCAAAGTGGGTGGTCCTTGATAGGATGGTATCTGCATGGTGTGTGCATGTTCCCTCCCCTCTGTTATTACATATCCACCCTCCGTTACTGTTTTTTTATTCAAACTGGGCATGCACACAGATATTTGTTTACCAATGTGCACACTTTTCATATATCCATATATCCCCAGGAAGTATACAAGAGTAACCATTATTAACATATTTCACATAATGCAAAATGAGACATTAATTTGGGAGGGGGCGAAAGATACACAAAAAATAAATTTATAGTATGTCTCTTTTTGTGAAGATGACAATTCTTGGATCTAATAATAATAATATTATTTCACAAATCTAAATATATTATACCACCCGGTGTTACCAGTTCAGCTAGTCACATGCACTCGTATACTCATTCAGATGAGCTCTTAATACTTGCATTCACTAAAATGCTGATTTTGGGAAATAAGCAATACTACCCTTGGGATATTTACTGAAGACAGATGAACTCCCACATATGACATTGCTCTTGCTTTGATTACTTTGTTTATTTGGGGAAAAATTAGCACTAAACCTATATTAGCAGGCTTGATCCAGAGAGCCAGCAATGACCACACCATTGTTGCAATTATAACAATTTATTTATAACTCAGTAAAGGTACTATGTCAATATACAGTGATATAGAGGCAAGAACAATGGCTTTGTGCCTTGGAATGCCACTAGAGAAACACAAAAGAGAAAATTCATTACACAGGCTAATTCAGCCATGCATTGCCTGGAGCATACACTTAGTTACCATTACAGTGATAGAGGGATGAGACCAGAGGTGGAAAGTCACCTAATGCAGAACTGTGAGGCAACGTCTTAAACACCCAGTTTTGCTATGGGAAAAATGAAAGAATCCATTAAGTGGGAAATGTTAACATGCAAAATAGAGGCTTCCCCATCTCACTGGAGTCAGAGAAAACACAGAAGTTGCAGAAAAGTAAGGAAAGTGAGATGCAATAGCTGCATGTCCTCGTGAGGAAGGTGAGTGGCATAGCTGAGACCCAAAGCTCTGAATTTCTGACAAGCACAGATACATGATCCTAGCTGGGATTACACGCTTTGGCAAAGGAGGAGTAATTCATTAAAACAATCCTTATGCCTATCAGAAAGGTGATATTAAGTGGGGTGGGCTGATAGTTCAACCTCATTGTAAATCTCTGTCCACAACCATCTATCTCCAGGTTCCTGGTGAGCCCACCCAAATTTGGTTGAAAAACAGAAAGGGTTTCCTCTCACAGAAGATGTCTTTCCAGTCCTGAAACAAATAACAAGCAGAGGCAAGGGAACCCACGGAGGGAAGAGGCAAGGAAAGAATCTAGATAAACCTTAAGCAGAGGGAATAAAGAAGTCATCTCCCATGGTCTATCACAGGAGTACAGCATCTGAAAAGAAGTGGTGTGGGAGTATTCCAAAAGGGAGAATGAATGGAAGATGTACCATGATAGGGAAACCTTATAAGGCCTCTCCCTGAATTTGACCCCCCCCCCCAAAGGCTTCACCTAAGAGTCCAAGGTACGAAAGAGATTCCAGGGACATCCTAGGTCAAGTTAATGGTCATACCACATGAGAAAGTCCTCAATTTATTGTTATCTTTAGCATGATGCTCTTTGCCTTTGCTGAAACTAGGTAAGTTTGGGAGTTCTCTGAAAATGCAATAGGATAGTACAGGATATGTTTATCAGGTGGAAGCTATTTACTCACAAAAGGAGACTAATGACCAAATTAGTCTTCAGATGTGTATCTGAAGAAGTGTGCATGCACACGAAAGCTCATACCAAGAACTAACTTAGTTGGTCTTTAAGGTGCTACTGGAAGGAATTTTTTTTTGTTTTGACTATGGCAGACCAACACGGCTACCTATCTGTAACTGGACCAAATTAAGGGTGTTTGTTGCATTTGATTTCTGGAGTTAATTGGGTGATTGGCGCGTGCCTACAGCTCACATGAGTGTGGTTCACATTGGTGGCCACGACAATGTTTTCATTGCTCAGAATATGTATGTACAGAGTCCCATCTTCTTGGTAACAGCAGTGGGGATGAAGAATTGGTCTTTTACTGTTTTCATATGTAGCTTTAACAATCATTTTGTCAACCAAATTAATTGAAATGTTGCTTTCCGAACAATACTATTCATAGCCAAGTGAAGAACAGGCAACACAGAGACAATTAATGATATGGAATGATTATTCTTTAATGCTTTGTCTTCTTTTTTTTTCTTATTTAGAGACAATAAATACATAAAATAAAGGCAACATATATCAGCTATATTTCTTGTATATTTTTGCAATATTAAAGGGCTTCAGCTAGCAAACTGCCAGAAACTGTTTACTAGATTAGTTTTTACCCCTGGCAACAATACTGGAAGAATAACAGGGAAGAAATCTACACAATAGCAGGGTAGGCAGTGAAGAAATTGCAATCACATCATTTTCTTACTCGCACTTCAAGATAGCAATTGTTACTCCAGTTATTTCCCGCCAAAGGACAGACTCAGCTTCGTGCTGTGGCAGTTTGAGGCTGCTCTGACTGTAGCTGTTTTCCAAGATACTCCCTGAAAGACAACAAGGGGTGGGCGAGACATTTTTAAAGGGACCAATGATGAATACTTAATGAGAGTTTTCTGAAGGAAATAAGTAGCGGTTCCTGTTTTCAAAAGAAGTAGGCAATTTCTTGCCTCAACTAGCCCTCAGCAGTTCCACTGAGATGCCAGTTTTGCTAAATGCCTCAGGTCTGAATTTTACATTAAAAAACAACAAATATATATTCTGAACATTAGCCATGCTAGTTTATACCAGCAGAGTGTTTCATTGTGATAGTTTCAGATTTTACTGCTTATGTTAAATCTCAGAACATGTGCAACCATTTCCCAGAATTAGACAAACAGATCAGCTTAGGCTGGAGAATTCAGACATACTGTACAATTTCTTCTAGCAAAATGGCAACAATACAGCCTGCCTCAAACTGACGAGATGGTACTGTTCTGCTTGTGCTGCTCGTGTAATTTGCCTACTCAGAGCTAGCTTTTTATTCGTGCTTTTTATTCCAGCTACCACCTTTCAAAAGATCTTGAAACAGATCTTGAAAAGATTGGTGCGCACTGACCCCTCTCGCTCTCCAGGCTTCAGGAAGCTATCCGCAAGCCTTGGGAGCCCGCGGGCGAAAAATACGGTAAATATGCACACTGAAATTTCAGTTGCTCACATCTCTCTGTACCAAGATTCTTCTACAACTAATTTGATACGCAACTTTTCGGTCTTCGAAAGCATATCAGTACACATTTGCCCAGTCCGATTAAGAGAGGGGCAAAACTTTCAAAGGTATAAATGGGGGAGAAAGTTAGGAATGTCCCATTGATTTAAAGTGTAAAAACACATTCTTAACACTCTCTTCCATTTATATCAGCACACAACAAAATTTGGCTGGTGTTGGACTTTGGCTCAATCATATCTAGGTTTTTATTTGTAAAGTCCTGTTAAGGTCTTCACTTATATTGCAATGCTAGATTAAAGATGTCTTCTAAATTAAACCTATCTCCTCACTACTTTAAATTTGACTTGATGCTTTATTTGCTTCAGTAATCCAATATGAATCTGCATGAATCAAGACACATTTACCAAGCGGAACAGAAAACAAATTTGTGCAGTTTTACACATAGCAACTTACTTTTAAGAACCTGAAATAAATTGTGACTGACTGAACCTTAATTAAACTTTGCTTGAGACAGTCTAAAGTACCATTTCCTTCAATATAGAAATCTGAAAATAAATTACTGTCATTGGCAAACAAATGCCGTTTCAATTCCCCTGTATGAAATTCTGGGATACTGAAAAACAAACATTAATTAAACAAGAGGTGTAGAGCAGTAGCCCAAAATGAAACCCCAGAAACAGTGAAGTACAAGATGTATTTTTCAGCAGGGGAAATACAGGGATGTATTGAGAAACTCACAGGAGAAGATACAGAATATTCATTTCAAACAAAAAAATATTTTATGTGGCTTCACATGGCTGCAGAGCTAATTATGAGCCGCATAGCAGACATTCACATGCTTGTTAATTTAGAAACAGCTTCATCATCGATGTCATATTGCTTCAGAATCCTATTTAAAAGCAATAGTACCTAAATTACTTGACTTTTCAAAACCAGTTAAATATATAGTCAATTGTTCATTTTATCGGTTCAGTTATTAAAGCATCACAGATAAATTACATAACTGTACCAGGTTTGGATGTATTTGCTGTACTTTCCACACTCTGAGGGTTGTGTTTTTTATAGAACCATCAATTGCTACAAAAGTAAATTATTAACAGTGCAGACCTATACATGTCTGCTCAGATGTAAATCCTGTTGAACCTCATAGGGCCTTAAAAGGTAAGTAGAGTGCAGAATTGAAACCTAAGTGAAACACAGCTTGATGGTCCAGCTGACCACAACCAAACAGATGCAACTCTTGGTGGGACATATATTGGCAAAGAGCTAACCACAACGTTCACCTCATTTTATGTTCCAATTTTCTATGATAGAATGGTTTGAATTATGTAGCCGTCTCCCATGTGGATGAGAGATTCGAGACAAAAAATGTGACACAGTAATAGGCCTTCTTAGTAACAATCCACAAAGTTTTATTTCCAAACAGTGGGTATTTTCATTTTAAAAACTGGAGTGGATGGAAAGGAATATGGGGCTACAAGAGAAACAACTACTATGGAAGAAATGCTGGGTGCTGAAGTTTACTGGGGGGGGGGACTATTACTTGGAAGGGAAAGATCAGAGGCCACAGAAAGTGATTCTTTGCCTGTGGTCTAAAAAGTCCATCCTCAAAATGGGATTGGGCCATAAATTGTACCATAGTATGAATGTGGGCTGCTGATCAATTAATTTTCTGTTTTTACGTGATGCTGAGGATAAAAACCAGGATGTGGGCTCTGCTCTTTATCATTGCAGTGCTACCTCCGGTTGTGGACAGGATCCGTTCTGGTCTGGTCGGATCCTGAGGTTTCCACAACCTGTGAACCACTTCTGCTTATGCGCACGGGGCAAAACCTGGTAAAATACTTCCGGGTTTGCCGCGCACATCCCAAAGTTTACGTAACCAGAGGGTTACATAAACGGAGGTACGACTGTATTCCTTGCACTTTCAATTGCACAGAAAGAGTACAGAGGTAAAAGCCTTGCAGGTCTTCTGAAAGGCCATGACAGGTAAGGGAAACTAATGAAAAGGAGGGATGCAACACTACAAAGTTAGATTTACCATGCTAAACTTCTCTTCTGTATAAGTTTCTAGAGTATACACAGGCCAGAAGCAGTTGATTATAGTGGTTAGGTAACAGGAGTAGTGGATTATGCATCTTGAAGAATGACATTAGGAAATTCTTTATTCCATTCCCAAGGAATAGGATGATGGTAATAGCCTGTAATGATCCGATATATACTATGCAGGCAGGCTGCCTGCCTTTTCTCTAGTATATAAATTTTACAAAATATAATGAGGTAGTTTATGGAGGGGATGTGCTACTGATGTGTCTGTATTACTTGCAAAAAGTTTCAACTAAGTTGCTACAGCTGAAAAAGTCCCCCCACCCAGCCATTAAGAAACAAGGCTAAAGAATATGCCCTGCATATGTGCACAAAAGTTTATAAAACTATCCTGAGAAATAAATTGTTTCGTTAGGCAGCACCTACAACTCTCTGCCTTTTGATGTCCGGCAGGCTATACTCTCTTCGGCACCTGCTTAAAACATTTTTGCTCAGGCAACCCTATCCAGACATTTAGAAGGTACATGTAAAAGGTAAAGGGACCCCTGACCATTAGGTCCAGTCGTGACCGACTCTGGGGTTGCGGCACTCATCTCGCTTTATTAGCCGAGGGAGCCGGCGTACAGCTTCCGGGTCATGTGGCCAGCATGACTAAGCCGCTTCTGCGAACATGTAGTTTATCTCTTTTTAGCTACTGTTCATTTCAATCACCTTCGAATGCTTACCGATACCTGTATCTAATCATGTTTTATCAATATATTTCATGTTTTATAAACCACTTTAAAAAGTTTCTGTTTTTTTTAACAAGCAAGTTGTACATACATTTTGTTAAACAAAACAAATCAGTTCAGAAACTTTTAAACAACTTTTTAACAACAATATATTTCTTTCAGTTCAGTTATTAGAAAAATACAAATGCATCTTGCATTTCTGTTCACCAAAGATCTGCTGGACATATAAATGGATCCTGCTGCAAGAAATTCTAATGGAAACACAATTAAAGGCTGAAAATATCAGGCATTCTAAATGTAAGGAAACAAAAAGGAATAATGCTGTATTCTGTTTTATACAGTCTACTTCAATTTTCATTATATAACAAAGTGGGGGGTAGTAGTGAAAAAATAATATAATAATAATAATATAATATAATAATATAATAATTTTATTTATATCCCGCCCTCCCCAGCCGAAGCCGGGCTCAGGGCGGCTAACAACAATAAAACAGTACAAAAGACAGCAGAAGAGCTGCTAAATTTTACTTAACAATGACACTACTGCCAGTTGCTGAGTTGTCATCATTTCAGTGGTAGAGGGTACCAAAGTTTTATTGTAACCCCCAAGAGGCATGTCATAATTTAGGACTTGAGTTTCACACATTCCCAAAAAGAACTCCTGCCCTGAGATCTTATGATGAAGGGTGGTATGTAAACCTACTAAATAAAATAAAATAAAAACCCCGAAGTGAAAGTGAGTTGTCACATACCAGTTGTGGACCATCAACTTCTGCACAGCAAGCAAGGCATTATAGCGAACCTGTTGGTCTTCGTGGTGCATGTGGTTCATTACAAGCTGTTTTCCACCAAGTTGCTCAATCACACTATAAGAAGAGAAGAGAGCATGGGTAAGAGAGAGGTAGTGGTCAGGGGTGTGGGGGTGGGTGGGTGGTATGTATTTTCAAGTTTCCTTCTGCTTCAGATTACTAGCAGCCACCAACCTCACACCATTTTAAGTGACTTTACAGTACCAACACCACAAATTTCCAGCAGACCCATGTGCGAGGTGGGGGAGGTTATGATCCTGACTGCCTGTCAGTAAAGATTCCCCACCACTGTCTACTACTTCAACTGAATCCCCCTCAACTAGCTTCAATATGCTGCCTTAAAACTTCCTAATCGAAAGCTTAATAAGGCACATGGATTAGTCTGGAAAAACCAAACATCGAGTCAGCTGTAAATAAAATTTGCTCCCCCAAGTTCTATGGTTTAAATAAAACAGGTAACAGGGTCACTTATATCTCAAAATAAATAATTCCAGCCCAATGCAGGGACTTTGTTAACCCGCTTGAACGTTTTCCCCTCAGCTTTTGTCAAGGGCAGATATTTAAACATCCCCAAAAATGATAGACATTGCAAATGATATTTGAATGTGCCGGACACTGTAGAACATATACTTTTCTTACTGTCCATTGCCCAGTGAGCTAATAAGGCTTGTTATTCCCTTTTTTGGGTAATCTAACATCACGACACAATGAAAATATCAGATTCTATCTGTCTGACATTAACCCGGAAGTAACTGCAAGGGTGGCTGAGTTTTTGTCAATAGTCTCTCTTAGAGTGGTGAATGGTACTATTTAGCAGGAAGAAATCCCAATGAAAATCCTTGTCATTATATATTTTACATGGCTGTTTATTTGTATATTTTAAAATTTTATATATGGATGTTTTATGACGGCCTGTACTTGTAATGCCTAATAAAGGTTTGGTGACATAAGATTAGTTTGGAAAGTAAATGTGGGTGCTTCTTCAGCACAAACATCTCAGTCCATTTTAGCTCAATTGATTTGTATGCCACTTTTCCATTGTGAACTATAATCAAAGCAGCTCATATCATCAAAAAGTTTACATGACATCATTCACTAAAAATTACAATACTTAATAAAATTCAAATAGTCATATAAAAATGTTACTGAAAGCATCTCACATGCATAAATATAAAATCAAATTAAACCACCTACTGATACTTTATAGTAAAAGGTGAAAGATTTATATGATCTGAAGAGAAACCAGAGATACTTTATAGTAAGGTCTAACAAAAGGTTACACTAACTGTTCCTTGAGTCATAAGCAATGGCCCTTGTATTAACTCAGGCGCTAAGCAAAGACAAGAAATAGCCTTCCACACCGTTTTCCTCGAGGATAGTGTCGGACATATTCTCCCACATCATGAGCAGCTACAGCCAGGACTTGAGGATCATCTGATACCTCCAGAAGCTTTGTCAAGATTCTACAATAGGATTGCAAATATACAAGATCCTTATTCACTATGGAGTGTACAAAATATAGCATACAAAAAATTGATAAAACTCAATAAACCTCTGCCATGTTACTTCAGTACTGCAAAACTTTTCTAGATTCACACAGTATCACACAAATATTTTGAGAGATATTTCAAAATCACACTCAGGGTAGACCTAGGACTCAGCTAAAAAGGTAAAGGTAAAGGGACCCCTGAGCATTAAGTCCAGTCGCGGACAATTCTGGGGTTGTGCAGCTCATCTCGCTGCAAATAAAATGTTTGGAATGTGTTGTAAAGTGCAATATACAATTGTGACACTAAATGGTGACTGTGAGCTATAGCAAATTCAATGCATTTTTCAAAATGATTTTTAAAAAAGCATTTTCACAACGTTTTTAACATGAGTGTAGATTCCACCCCAGTGAAATCAATGGACTTGGTCACGACTAACTTAACGTCACTGATTTCAGTCAGTCGGTTCCAAGTATGACTTAGTTGAATGCTATCCCACGTCATCTAGGTAATCAATGTCCAACACATATTTAGCAAATGTGTTCAGCTGTAAATTCTTAATACATTCTCTGGTAAATTCTAATCTTATTAATCTGCCATGCAAAAATTCAAATAAGCCTTTGTGGGGAGAGGAAACTGTACTCATTTCACAGATATCTTTTCAGGATTTGTACACTGAACGATAAACCAAAGAACCAATAATATACTTAATTAAGTTAGCTCAACTTTCAATGAAGACAAAACCAGTGTTGCTGATAATTACCACTTTGCTTCATGCTCAGCTAAGCCTTTTGATCTGCAAGGCGTATCTAGAGACAGCTGAAGCATCAAAGCCAAGACATTACAGCACAGACACTTGACTGATTACCTCATTTGGAATGAATAATGCATATTCCTGAACAGGCAAGTATGACACTACTATGAACAGATATTTAGGCTACATTCGGATGTTACAGCAGTGATAAGGTTACCGATGCGGGGAGGGACATCATATCACAGCCATTAGCCGCAAACCCAATCTTTAATAGTAACCAGCAATCTCAAGGAGGTCTCTAAATATATCAAAACCATACATTTGCTGTTCTAGAATCAAGCCACATTTCACTTAAGAAGCAAGCCAATGCTCTTACAAATTCACCTGTGCTCAAAAAAGAAAACAGTAGATTGTATCCTATGAAATTGTGTCATTAGCAGAAGGACTTCCACCTGTGCAACAGGACTTCCTTTCCTTCTTCTCTCCACGGAAGAAATCTGCTCCAGAGGGCTGGCAGAACACCCAGAACAGATGGGGGGGTGCTGCAGGAAGTAGCAATGGAAGTCCTGTTGTGCAGGCATTAATGGGACCTGGATACAGCCCTCTGAACTAAGGCTCCCAATTTAGTTTCCATACCATACAAAGCAACAAAGCTTTTTTCTCTCTCTCACTGTGCTCACTTGGGACATTTTCAAAGACGGGAACCTTTTATTGAAAATGGTATTATAGTCCCTCTACCTTATGCAGATACCCTAAATGAAACTTTGGTTACTCTGAGCAACACAACAATTCAACTGAAGCAAGGATATATCAGAAGAACTTACTTCAACAGTTCATAATTCTTTTCATTTAATCTCACAGCATTCTCTCGCCAAAATTTCTCAGATTTGTGAACAGGGCTCCACTCTAGTCTCCCCGACTTAAGCTCAGAACTATATTCATCAAACGAACTGCAAAATAAACCGAACATAAGAGAATGAGGAATAAATCTGATGCACAAGGACAATATATGAAAGCAAACAGCACATCCAAACCTCCCACTGCACTTAGGATTCATTGTAAAGCATTTTACAAAAATTGTAAGTGGCACTCACAAGCATAAGTATGAACACTTATAAATATGGAAGTACAATTTACAAATGGCAGCATATTTTCATTGGGATGAACGTGGCCTATTTACCATGAATTCTAATTTGGCCAGACTGAAGCTAAAGGAGTCAATTTTTCCAGATTTTTCTTCGCTGCTGACAGTTTTGCATTACAAGGATAGGATTGTAGCCTAGGACATTCAGATCCAATTTGGAGTTTGCTTCCAGGAAGTTGCCATAATAGGGAAACCATTCCTTACGCAGATTAACATGTGCTCCTCTCCCAGGTCACACAGCCAGCTTTGGAAAATGGGAATCTAGCCGTTAGAATCTTTTAACTATGTATGTGCATGGTCATTTTCTAATAACCTAGGACAACAACAGTTTGGTGCTTAGCCAAATATAAAACCACAGAGCTGTTTTCTTTTATTTTTGAAGGTATGGCAATTCTGATTTCCATTAATAATTATTATTATTAATTACATGCCGTGTCTGTTGATTTTTTGAAAACACAGCTCCTTCAGCACTTAAAGCACTCTGTTTTGGTACTTTATTTTAATATTATATAAGATGATGAGGTACTCCCAAATGAGGTGTAAATAAAGCCTACTTATGGTAATGACAAATGATAACTATTTTGTAGTTTTATGATTACTTGAATCTGATACCATCCCAAGGTACAAATCATGTGAAGTTGGTTTTAAAAAAAGAAAAGCCTGCTTGGTCTTACAGTTATTTCCTTCATACGGTCTTTGGAATCTACAGCATTGCAGAAAACAATCACTAGACAAGCTATCATTCTAATAACTAGGCCTCTATTTGATCTTGACAGGTGCTTCGGTGGGGAGCCTATACCCCAAGGAGGACCCTCCTTGTATCAATTTGAACATTAGACACCGAAGACAAAATTTACCTGAGGTCCTGCACACTCTCTCCAAGTTTGTCCAACAGAAACTTTATATCCTCACTTATGTCTTCATCATCATATTTCTGCTGTTCCAAGTTCTCCAGCTGCTTCAGAACTTTGCACTGGATCATGGCAAGAGCATACTCCTGGCGAGTTTCTCTTTCAGTAGACTTTTCAAGAAGATTCTGGAAAGAAAAACAAAACAAAACGGTGTCAGACCCTGATAGCCATGAATTAAAAAGGCAGTGATGGAATTCTCTGTGAAGTGGCACTCCCTCTATATTTTGACTGACCCTACTGTCATTTCCCGCCACATCCTGTTAGCATTCTTTACAGTTCTGTATCAAGAAGATGACATAGCATACTGAGGAGGGTTCAGACATCATCCTAGTTTCATGTGGATGGACTGCTGGATGTAAATTGTTACCTTTGCACAATAGCTAGTTTCTGTATACACACCTCTTATATCTAGGAAAGCAGAAGGCATTTTCAGTCTTCAAGAGCAAACTTTTGTCGGGCAAAAACAGTCAAGGAGGGTGTGAGGTAGTGGCAGTGGAAAATGTGGCCTGAGGAAAGTCCAGAGAGCCACAGAGGCCCAGAGGGCTGCATTTGGCCCCCAGACCTAAAGCCCCCCACCCCGGAATAAAGAATTTGTAGTCTACATACTTCACTCACCCGAAATGCTGCAAGAATGATCCTAGTGACTTTCTCTTTTACAGACTCCTGAAGGATGTCAGACAGGACCGGGACAATATTATAACGCCGCAAATATTCACACATTTGAGGACTGAATGCCAGCAGCCAGATAGAGAAAATCATCTGATACTGAAGCTGGAAACCGCATTTGTTACTCAATACTCCCATGATACTAGAGAGCAGGGATAAAGCATAAGAAACATACCATTAGGCAGCTGCTCACTAGCCTATAATTCAGAATGTAAATCTTCACTTCCAGACACATTGAATTTGTAAAAGAAAAGCCTTTCACAAATATAGGTAAAGGTACCCCTGCCCGTACGGGCTAGTCTTGCCAGACTCTAGGGTTGTGCGCCCATCTCACTCTATAGGCCGTGGGCCAGCGCTGTCCGGAGACACTTCCGGGTCACGTGGCCAGCGTGACATCGCTGCTCTGGCGAGCCAGAGCCGCACACGGAAACGCCGTTTACCTTCCCGCTTGTAAGCGGTCCCTATTTATCTACTTGCACCCGGGGGTGCTTTCGAACTGCTAGGTTGGCAGGCGCTGGGACCAAACGACGGGAGCGCACCCCGCCGCGGGGATTCGAACCGCCGACCTTTCGATCGGCAAGCCCTAGGCGCTGAGCTTTTACCCACAGCGCCACCCGCGTCCCTTCACAAATATACTTCCATACAAATTAGAGAGACACTAAACAAATTAGCAAACACTAAACAGCCAAACCAGAGAATGCAATTTAGTCTGACAGGGGTAGGGTAGGGTAGAGTAGAGTAGAGGAGGGAGCAAGGGAGCAAAGCTCAGTTACTTTATTCACAGCAGAGGTGAAATCATCTGCTGGAACAACAGGGTATCTGATGGACCCTCCTTGCTCCAGCAAATGAACAAGGCAATACTGAGATTGCAGGGTTTCACTGTTGTTGTTGTTGTTGTTTTGTGACAAATCAGAATACAGAGGAAGTCTCGAAATGAGGGAAATAATCAAGCAGAGCCTGGTATTGCCTTCCTTTTCTTTGATGAAGTTCCTACTTCACAACAGGAGTTCAAATGGTAACAATTCTTTACAAGATGGTTTGCATTTCTAAGTGAAAGCTAAAGGTTACATTTTAACTGGCTTAAGATCTTTTGTTAAAGTGGAATGTGTTTGAAATCTGAACCTGTATACACTGATGTATATAATGGTGCTTGCTATCGCGAAACAATGAAATTATAGTCATGCTAGCCCTAATAAAACTACAAATTATGCTGCCAGAATTTTTGAACTTTCCTTGGGGCCTGTATATGGGCTGCTGTGATAAAAATTCAAAAATTTACCACTGCATCTCTGAGCATAGTTAAGGGAACTTTTGGAACAGGGTTTGCTAACATTTCGCCCTCCATATGGCCACCATCCCAAACCACTAGCCATGTTGGCTGAGGAATTGGAATTCAACAACTTCCCAAGAGCCACAGATTTTCCTTGTCTCTCAGAATAGAATCAGTCTTTCTATCGCATGACTGCTAAGTTTACTCAGTAGCTATGGTTACGGACTGTGTCAAAGGCTTTTCAGAAGCCCAGGTATATTATCCATCACTCCTAAACATCTACATGCATTCTTGAGCAAAGATACAGAAGTCCATACTACATACACGATTGAGACAACTGAAGTTATATATACAGTGCAAACAAACTGTTCTTTAAAAATATCATGGACTCTCATCAAGGGACTTATTTGGGAAGTAAACAGAATTTTGTTAAAGAATCCAGTCTGCTCACAGAACAATACCCAGAATTATTTAGGAGATAGAACTACAGTCATACCATGGAAGCCGAACAGAATCTGTTCTGGAAGTCCGTTCAACTTCCAAAACGTTCAGAAACCAAAGCACGGCTTCCAACCATCACTTCTGGGTTTCGTTCATTCGGGAGCTGATTTGTTCAGGAGCCAAGGTGTTTGGGATCCAACGTACGACTGTACAACACTGTTTTAGATTTGGAAACTTATCCTAAGGACTCTTTTTAACAGCTCAATAGAATGCATAAGTTAGTAGGAAAACACTTTCATCACGGATATACTAGAAGCTCATCTTTTTCTGTACAACAAATACTCACCAACTAACTCCATCTGATTCGACCCATGCAAAACGGTATTCATTGACCCTGAGCATCAACTGCAAGCACCCGGCAACACACTGGACATATTGTGAACTCTACATGAAAGAAGAATATACCATTACAAAAAATACATATAGCCTGTTGTTGCACTGGAAATAGGTAAGTGTGAGAACAACTGAGAAGTCTCCAATTATCACTGTCTCTTTTACTGTAACAAAAGCCAGCCCACTGCCATCAGTACCTGTTGTTATTCCAAAGTTGTGTTTAGTCACTAAGGCTAACAACATTCATGCCACAGTGCTAGTTAAGTGTCCTTAGACAGAATCAAATTCAAATTATCAAGTCAATAATCAGTTTATTTACCAGGGCTCTCACTTAGGTGGCTGTGAGATCCCACACTTCAGCAGCAAAAACCTAGCCAACACTGAACAAGAGCATAATGTTATTGTTAACATATTCTGCCTGATTTCCATATTTCCCCTCTGCTCCCAAGTAGGTCTTTTATTAGATGCTTAATGAAAAATACAGCACATGGTCAGTACATAGGGAACCAGTTTCCTCCTAAAGTTCCCCTATTTTTCAATTCCTTCAGAGTTCCTTCCTTCCTTTTAAAATTCCCTCATTTTCCCTAGCTTTTAGAAAAGTTTCCCACCTCTTCCTATATAGTTTCAGAACAACTATAAGTGGCAATTAATTTTCTTGGATAATTATTTGCTATATATATTTTTGGTTGTGTGGCTTTCCCCCACTCAGCTGTTTGAGAACAATTTGGTATGCTTCTGTTGTGTTTGCATGTGTGTGCAGTGGTACCTTGGTTCTTAAAAGCCTTGGTACTCAAACAACTTGGAACTCAAACACTGCAAACCCGGAAGTATCCGGTTTGCGAACTTCTTTGGGAAGCCGAACATCCTCAGTTTTGAGTGCCACACGTCTGTTTTGAGTGCCACACTTCCATTCTGAGTGTTATGCTGGGGTCTGTCTGTTTTTACTATTTACCGTATTTTGTTTTTGCAGCTCTTTTGTTTTTGTGACTGTGTGGAACCCAGTTGAGCTATTGATTGATTGATTGTGTGACTGCAGTACATTGATTATTGCTTTCATTTTATGGATCAATGGTCTCATTAAATAGTAAAATTCATGTTTAACTGCTGTTTTAGGGGTTGTTTTTAAACGTCTGGAACGGATTAATCCACTTTGCATTACTTTCTATGGAAAAGCGTGCCTTGGTTTTGGAACGGACTTCCGGAACGGATTAAGTTTGAGAACAAGGCACCACTGTATGTAGCACTCAGAACCTGGTGTCCTACAGATGTTGGTGGACTACAACTCCTATCACCCCTGACCATTGGCCACAGTGGCTGTGACTGATGGGAGTTGTAGGCCAGCAGCATCTAGAGAGCATCACAGTGGCTATCCCTTCCCCCAAGTCCAAAAGAAAGTACCTTCACTTGCTTTCTAGAAACATAGCTCTATTGGTCTGTTGTGCTAACAACATCCCTTCTATATACTTAATTGAGAATAACTGCACCAACCCCAGTGGGGTTTACTTCTGAGTTTGCCTTCTTAGGATTGAGAATTCTAATCAGAGGCAGCCACAGGGGAAACTGAAGCAGGGCAGCCTTCATTCCAGATGAGTTAAAGCCATCCCTTCACCCAACATCAGCTTTGGCTCCACCCCAACTAGCCTGGGATCCCTGACAGATTATCCACAGGGCAATGCAGCCCGTGATAGAAAAAAAAGAGGTTGCCCATCTCTGACACAGAGCAAAGTCAGTCTTTTCAGAACAATTTCTGAGTAACAACATTTCAAAGAATATAAATGAAATGGAACAGAAACAAATAAACATTAGCCCAAGCTACTACTGAATGCAGTTCACTGTCAGGTTACTCCAACAACATTATATAAACAACAACAACAGGAATCCAAGGACCTGTAATTCAATAGATTATGTGTGCATTTGAAAGCATCGTCTCTATTCCAAAGTTGTATCCAACCAACTATGGAACCCGGGGCAAATTTGTAAGGCTTCAACTGCATTGTCAAACTGCCTCAAAGCAGTTACAGAACTGCATTGTTTTACAGCACAACTCACAAACTCCTACTCTCTTTTCAAAGTCGTCCCTGAACTTGCAGCGAGCAGCCATGACATTTTCAGAGAAAAAGAATACACACAATATACAGTAATCAATTTTATTTTGCTATGAATACAGTAGCTAGGAAGCTGAAGAACTGTTTCCTAACCTACGTACACACGACAGAAGGTATGTTATCTCTAATAATCTTTCTGCATTGTGAAAAACTTTAATAAAAAGCTTATTAAAAAGAAGAAGATACACTATCTCAATATAAAGGATACATGCTTTTCTGTATACCTGAAGGAGCATCTACACCCCCATTGTTCTACCTGGACACCGAGGTCCAGCGCTGAGGGCCTTCTGGCGATTCCCTCACTGTGAGAAGCCAAATTACAGGGAACCAGGCAGAGGGCCTTCTTGGTAGTGGCACCCACCCTGTGGAACGCCCTCCCAGCAGATGTCAAAGAGAGCAGCCATTACCAGACTTTTAGAAGACATCTGAAGGCAGCCCTGTTTAGAGAAGCTTTTAATGTTTGGCGGATTACTGTATTTTAATATCTTGTTGGAAGCTGCCCAGAGTGGCTGGGGAAGCCCAGCCAGATGGTCGAGTATAAATAATAAATTATTATTATTATTATTATTATTATTATTATTATTATTATTATCATCATTATTATTATTTTCTCTACACTTAGATTCAAAGTTTGAAAATGCACGTGAATAAGACCAACAGGGTTCAATTTTCTTTACACCTCAAAAAATGCTCCTATTTAAAGCAAAGTTTAAGGTAAAGGTAAAGGGAACCCTGACCGTTAGGTCCAGTCGTGGACGACTCTAGGGCTGTGGTGCTCATCTCGCTTTACTGGCCGAAGGAGCTGGCGTACAGCTTCCGGGTCATGTGGCCAGCATGACTAAGCCTCTTCTGGCGAACCAGAGCAGCGCATGGAAACACTGTTTACCTTCCCGCCGGAGCGGTACCTATTTATCTACTTGCACCTTGATGTGCTTTCGAACTGCTAGGTTGGCAGGAGCAGGGACCGAGCAACGGGAGCTCACCCTGTCATGGGGATTCAAACCACTGACATTCTAATCGGCAAGGCCTAGGCTCAGTGGTTTAGAGCATAGTGCCACCCGCGTCCCCTAAGCAAAGTCATAAATAACCCCAAATCACCGAAACCACCATCCTTCCTGTATTGCATCAGCAAATGGCAGAAAACCAAAATCACTGGTAGTATTCTCACCATTCTTTAATATCCATACCAAACACATGTGGAAATAGAATCAAAAGCTCCAACCAGATATAGCCCTCTTACTTTTCCTCGTATCTAGTAGACTGCCAATATTAAAAACTTCCCGATACAGGGCTGCCTTCAGGCAACACTTAAAACTCTTTGGTGGCACATCAGAGTAGCATGAGGAGCCCAACCTTCCATGCTTTTCCATTCATGATTCCCAAGCACACAAATCCTAAGAGACCTGGACCACTATGGAAGTAGTGAGAATTTCAAAGCATTCCCTTTGTCTTGCTCAACTGTTCTGGATAGAAATGTCTCAGGAACATGCCTTGGCTTGGCAGCAAGCATTGTAAACAGGTTTTTGTTGTTGTTTTTAACAAAAAGCTGGAACATCTAAGAAAGCTGCCATCACCAAAAAAAATTAAAAGTGAATAACCTTTTCAGATTTTTTGATCCCCCTTGCATTTGTTTTTATTTATTTTCCTATAAACCAGACCCTTAGGATCCTTATGGAAGGCAGAAAATACATTTAAAACAAATACATAAAGGATTTTCAAGCTAATCCATAACTGAGAATTCACCAATCTTTTCCCCAAACCCTTCGACACATAGTATAGTATTGCAGGTGCCACATTTACGAAAAAATAAATTATGTTTAATTACATCCAACCATATGCAAATTAAGTGCAGCAGAAATTGTGTTTATAATACATCTCCAGAGCTGCCCATTTATCTCAGGTTAGTCTCCATAAACTGCTTCTATGAAATAAAACCTCAAGCTAAACTGAAGGAATGCAAAGAGTTGCTTATTTACTGCATTTATATCGCAGCTTTTTCTCCAAGGAGCTCAAAGTGGCATACATGGTTCTCCCTCTCCTCATTTAATCCCCACAACAACCTTACGAAGTAGGCCAGGCTGAGAGGCAGTCACTAGCCCAAGGTCACCCTGTGAGTTTCGTAGAGTTGCCTGGTCATTTGATGTGCACATCAACTCCAAAACCCCTCAGATTGTCAACTGTCAATGAAAGACTTAAGTTGACTCAGTATTCATTTAAATAAGTTGAACAGGAAACAGAGTTAAAATCAGCTTCCTTTTACCCATTTTGGAAGCTGAGTACTATTGTTTTAAACATTCAGTTATTCCCTCCCTTCAACCCTGTGCCCCAGGATAACTGCACACCTATTACATGAGTCCCTAATGATAATAAATATTACACCTGATTACATTTCATATTCCAAGAAGATTTGGTATAGCCTGAATTGTCGGGAATGTTTTTTATTTCTTAGAGACATCAAGTGGCAATACTGAGCAGTACAGCTTTTGAGATAAATGACATTTTACAATTGCTTTCTGAAGCATCTGCAGCTTAATGGACTGCTAATCCATGAGCATTATAATATTAACGTACCTAACAAGTATTCACAGAAGGAAATGGAGAGAGTAATTTTTAGCACAACAATGTTCTCTGCAGAGCTCTATTTCCCCTCCAAATTTACTGTGCCAATGGATAAGAAACACTTGTTTTATTTTTATTTGTTAACTACAGAACTGTCTTCTCCAGATCAAATCCCACAAAAACTTCCTGCAATATCATCAAAAACAGAATAGTAACCTGCGAAGGCTAAACAGGTTGGGCGAGGCTGGGGATCAGGTTGCAGTTTTACAGTACAGATACCCAGAGAGTGAGCCAAATCTATGCCTGGTTTCATTACTTTCAAAACAACCACCCCACAACTGTGGGACTGCTCTCTTATCAACATATAAGCTAAACAAATAAGATCTTCATAAAGGATAAAACATTATTGCACGTATAGTTTCACCGATTTCAATGCCATCATATCGTAGTGATTGTTCAAAAGTGCAAAGATGAATAACATTCCTGTGGGATCTGACAGTGCCACATGCTTAGGATCACCCTGAAAACAATCATGCCATAAACATCTGGCCCTCCAGATGTTGCTGGATTATAAATCACAACTGACTGGGGTTAATGAAGTTGGAATCCAGCAACATCTGGGAGGACCACAAGCTCCTCATCCCAGCTGTAAATGATTGAGGAGCTGGCTGCAGAGATTTACAAGACAGAGAGATCCTGGAAAGAAACCTCAAACTCAGAAGCTGATTTGATCTATTATTCAAAGTCTCTATTGCTTTATTGGCCAGAACCCTATTGCCCAGCCTCCCAGGAAAAACATCACAGCATGGGGAAGACCAATCTACTGGTCAGAGATGTACAGCTGCATGGAACTTTCCCTCCCAGAAAACATTCTGCTCCAAGTGCCAGCTGCCCTAGGACTGTAGAACCAAAGAGGTACATGCTCTGGCCCCATCCATCAGCCAGAGAACTAAAGGCTGTTGAATTGTGGGTTGGTTTGCAAGTCCCAGTGAACTCTGAGTTTATGGGTATCACCCATTGTCTGTAAACTGTGTTGAGAGTACAAATCTTCTAAATTAATATATTTGGAAAATACATTTCAACCCAGGTTAATAGACGAGCCTTCCTAGCATCAGTGCCCCACAAGAAACAATACTCCGGGCTAGAGCTAGATAAACAGTGCAGTCCTAATGATGTCCATGCAGAAGTCCTATGAAGTCCATGGGGCACACTCCGAGATATATGGAGTTAGGACTGTAGTTTAAGTTAGTCGTACTTTAGTTCCTTTGAACAAAGTAGTCTCCCACTGATTTGAGTGTTTCTAGCCCACTGTATCAAGAGAAAGATTAACAAATTATGCACAGATACTTACATCTGTTCCAGAATCGTTAGCACTACCACTGCTGCGTAGTTTCTAGCATGGAAAAGAGAAAGTTACATTTAAAGATTCGCAACAAGACAGCCCTTATGTACAAATCTACACATATAGCCTAATGAGAGAGATATATACATATATTTATTTTCCTACGCCTGACTGAATTGGAAATAAATTTCCGACCATCCCCTAAATATTGCTCACAAGGGTGGCAGTTAGTCACACATCTGGGGTGACTCCTATTCTGCTTCCAAATGGTTGGCCATGGCACATTTGCTCCCACTATCCAAAAGGGGAAATGCTTTATTCTCTTTCAGTACTTCCCACATTTGACTCAGAGCAGAGCCACAAAGTACCAACATTTCAAGCCAAGTAATTAGCATTTTCTGTACATTGCTACGCTTCAGTACATGTAGATATTCTGCACATTTGAAGTATTTAATCCTCTTACATTAATGAACTTGAAAAATGCTTAATTGGCCGAGTGTTTCAATAAAATATGTGTATTTTATGTAATAGGGAATTTAGCTCCATCAATATATATCTGGTAGCACACAAAGCAGCCAAAATATATCCTGCCCCAAGAGCCTGGCTACTGTAATACACACTGTAGGAAAAAGTTCCAATAACTTAGTATGTACAATTCCCCACTGCAGCTACACACACTACTACTCACAAAAATCAGGTAAAGGACATTATTCAGATTTAAATGCATTTACTGATTTGAATTTAAGGGCTCATTGGGGCTTGCACAGGAGAAGTTTGTTGTGGAGCATGAGCTAAAATCATGATTAAATACAAGTAGTCGAAATTGTAGATCTGCCAAATATACCTGTTTATAAACACTGCAATATCAGTAGATCCCAACCTGGTGACCTCCAAGTGTTTTGCCGTACAACTATCATCATCCCCAGCTGTTGGCCAAGGGGAGCTGCACTAGACAATAATATAATTACCTGCGAACTAAGCTGGGTCTTTATCCAATTGAAATAATAATTTAAATCGCTGCCTTCCATCAGTTCTCTTCCCCAAGCTGCTAGCTTGGCAATAATTCTGGCTGCCTGAAAGAAAGTGCAGAAAGCATAAACTCAGACACATATTATCATAGATTTTGCAATGACATCATCAACGGATACAGCAGAGGAGCCATTGTTCAGTGGTAGTGCATACACCTTGCATGTAGAAGGTCCTGTGTTAAACTTCCTGCATCTCAAAGCAGAGATGGGAAAGCTTCTGAAACACTAGAAAACCACTGGCAGTCAGTGTCAAGACAGTACTAAGCTAGGGATGCAGATGGTGCTGTGGTCTAAACCACTGAGCCTCTTGGGCTTGCCGACCAGAAGGTTGGAGGTTCAAATCCCCAAGACAGGGTGAGGTCCCGTTGCTCTGTCCCAGCTCCTGCCAACCTAGCAGTTTGAAAGAACGCCAGTGCGAGTAGATAAATAGGTACTGCAGAAGCGGGAAAGTAAACAGTGTTTCCATGTGCTCTGGTTTCCATCATGGTGTTCTGTTGCACCAGAAGCGGTTTAGTCGTGCTGGCCACATGTCTGTGGACAAACACTGGCTCCCTTGGCCTGAAAGCAAGATGAGCACCGCAAGTCCATATTCACCTTTGCCTGGTCTTAACCATCCAGGGGTCCTTTACCTTTTATCTTTTTACTAAGCTGGATGGACCAGCAGTCTGACTTTGTATAGGGCAGCTTTCTATGTTCCTAAATTTTACCATATTTTTTGCTCTATAGGACTCACTTTTTCCCTCCTAAAAAGGGTAAATGTGTGTGCATCTTATGGAGCGAATGCAGGCTGTGCAGCTATCCCAGAAGCCAGAACAGCAAGAGAGATTGCTGCTTTCACTGCACAGCGATCCCTCCTGCTGTTCTGGCTTCTGAGATTCAGAATATTTTTTTCTTGTTTTCCTCCTCCATAAACTAGGTGCGTCTTGTGGTCTGGTGCGTCTTATAGAGCGAAAAATACGGTAATAGCTTTTAAACAGGAGCATTACAATCTAAGAACATTAGTTGCATCCAAGGAAGAGGGCTGCAGTTCACAAAAACTTATGCCATAGTAAATTTGTTGGTCTTTGAGAGCCACAAGACTCTTGTGACAAGACAATCAAATAGCATAACCCCTCTACCACATCATCCTCTTACTAATCTGGCTGGTTCAAGCTCTTTACTGATAATAATATATGGCTGTCTTAAAATGTATTTTATTGCTGGCTTTTGATTAGCTAAACATTTGGAGCCTCTTGCCAACCTGAGGAGCAACAGCATGAAAGAGAGGCATGAAAAGGGGCATTAGAAGAAAAGGCTAGCACTTTAAAAAGAAAGAAACCTAGTTGTTAGTTTATATTTATGAACTGTCCTATTATAAAGGTTTGGGGAAAGAGAGAGGCTGAGCATTACAGCTAAATCTATTAATGTTCATGTAAAAGTAAGTCCTTTACCCTGGTCCTGTTTAAATCAACACTTCAAACAAGGTGACACTGATGGGTCATACAGCACGTCCATATTGTACTCTGGCTTGGTCTCTGAAAATGTTATAGTCAGATAATGCAGGAATACTGCTAGGAATGCCTTCCTTCCATGGAAAACTTAAATACCATACTTTAAATAAAGCTGTTGTGTTGTTAATGGACAATTTATATAACCCTTAATTATAAAGTGCTGACAGGACATTGATATTGAAGGTCTAATAAATCTGTCCTAAGTTTTGCAACCAAAGGTCCCCTCTCAAACCCAGGCTATTTGACTGAGCTGAAAGCTTACCATGTGTACAGTGAAAAGATCTTGACGATTCAACATAGGAAGGAAATAGGACCATGCAGTGTTCTTGCCGCGTTTTGCATAGTCAAAGAAAATACTAACACGTTGGTGATTTTCCTGCAAGCAGCATAAATGGAAAGGAAACACAGTTAGAAAACAGACGGAGACAGTTTTATCCTTGGGGCACTTGGAGATCAGCTGAGATTCTTGATGCTTAATTTTATAAACATAGTTGAAACATAGTTCTATATAAACATAGTTCTATTCTGTATGGATTGTTTTCACTTGCATATGTACATTGTATTTTTTAATAATAATTTTTATTAAGTTTTCAATTTTACATTTCAAAATAAGCATTTTACAAACTTTAAAATATTCATTGACTTCCCTTCTCCTTCCATGGTTCATTTTACGTATTATACATTCCTGCATATTTTACTAAAGGTAAAGGGTAAAGGTACCCCTGCCCATACGGGCCAGTCTTGCCAGACTCTAGGGTTGTGCGCTCATCTCACTCTATAGGCCGGGAGCCAGTGCTGTCCGCAGACACTTCCGGGTCACGTGGCCAGCGTGACATCGCTGCTCTGACAAGCCAGAGCAGCACACGGAACACCGTTTACCTTCCCGCTAGTAAGCGGTCCCTATTTATCTACTTGCACCCGGGAGTGCTTTCGAACTGCTAGGTTGGCAGGCGCTGGGACCGAATGACAGGAGCGCACCCCGCCGCAGGGATTCGAACTGCCGACCTTTCGATCGGCAAGTCCTAGGTGCTGAGGCTTTAACCCACAGCGCCACCTGCGTCCCGCATATTTTACTATAACCATTCAAATCAGTTTTCCACTTTTAGATCCATCAAAAATTATTTACTCTGTTGAATTTATCTTAGTGCTGCCAGCGTTCTCAACTGAATACAGTTATTTTCCAAAATTTCAATAAATGTTTTCCACTCTTTTAAAAATATATGTTCTTCTTGCTCTCTTATTCTATGTGTTAAATCTGCAAGTTCTGCATATGCTGTCAACTTAAGTTGCCAGCGCTCTTTAGTTGGGACCTCACTCACTTTCCATTTTGGGGCTAACAAAACACAGGCCGCAGTTGTTGCATACATAAATAACCTTTTCTAACACCTAGAAATTTATGTCTGGGTTATTCCCAACAAACAGGACTAGGGGTTTTTTGGGGGGGTGGGGAGTAGTTTTAAACATTTTTTTCAATTCATTATCAATCATTTCCCAATATACTTTTACCTTTTTACATGTCCACCACATGTGAAAAAAGGTTCCCTCCGCTTCTTTACACTTCCAACATGTATCTGATTCTGTTTTATAAATCTTAGCCAACCTACTCAGAGTTAAATACCACCTATGAAACATTTTCAAATAATTCTCTTTCAATGAATAACATGCAGTAAATTTCAGGTCGCTTTCCCAAAGTTTCTTCCAGAGATTAAGATCTATATTGTGTCCTATATCTATTGCCCAGTGTGCCACTGAAGCTTTAACAAGCTCATCTTTTCTTTCCCATTCCAATAAAAACTATACATTTTAGACAGAAGTTTATTCTTATTTTGTAAGAGTTCTTTTTCAAGTTGTGAGCTTTGGTCCAGAAATCCATTCTTTCTATCTAATTTAAACATGTTGTACATCTGGTGATATTGCAACCAACCCATAAGTTGGCTCCTTAAGTTTTCCACTGATTTCATTTTGGGGTCATCCCCCCCGTAAGTCACCATTGTCTGCCAATGCATATGTACATTGTTGTTGAAGCTGCTTCACGAACAGACTTCTGTTGAAAAGTGGTCTTTAAATGTTGTAAGCAAACAAAACTAGATGCTGGACTAGATGGATCGTTGTTTGATTTTGCAAGCCAATTCTTTGTTCCCCCTGCTTTGGAGAGGATTCATGCTTCTGGCAGGAGATTTGAGGCCCCTACCTGTTCTGACTCATTATGATTCTTTCACTCTCAGCTTAAACTTTTCAGGTGGTATGCTTGCCCAGAATATCAGCACAATGTGTTAATTTAAAAGTAATTTGGTACAGCAGCCCAAGATCTGCCTGTAAGTGCACTTAAGAGATGCTGCCTGAGCTTGTATAATCACCATGCTTCGTGCTAAGCATGTCTTATTTTAAAAATGTAATTGCTACAAATCTAAAATATTAGAACACATTAAGGTAATTTTGCACTATTCAGAACAAAATGTATTGTTAAAAAAAAAAAATCAAGGAGGTCATCGGGCCGATAAAAGATTTGTTGCCAAGCAGACAGAACTGGCTTGCACATGTACATGGAAATCAAAGAAGTTATGCATATGTCCAGTGAGAAATGCTTTGCATATTTCATGCAAAATGTATTTTTCTTACTTCCTTTGAAGGGGAGAAACACATCAGCAAATATACAGCATACCTGTGACAATAGCGTCACCACCAACCACAGCTTCCCTGACCACATGTACCACAATGTTTTATTATCCTGCTACTCCCCTCTTTACAGAGGCAATCAAAGCAACTAACAGAATTCAAGAAATAGACAGAATTGAAATATTAATCCACATAATGAATATCATAAACAAATAACTATGGACAGCCTAAGAAAAGCCTTAGAGTGTCAGACAAACTTAAAACAGCAATAAGATGAAAAGTTACTCCCCTAATATTTGACTGTTCAAGATAAAATGGGTAAGTGGGCTCATTATTTATATTTGATTAGTGATGATCTTATACAATTTACGCTATATGCAATGGATAAAGTGCTGTTCTGTAGGATGTAGTCGGGAATGTTAATAAAAATAAATGCATATCTCTGTGGGGTTTTTTTATTTTTGAAAAAGGTTAACTGATTCATCTATTAATGGTTTCAGCCACACTTGTTCCAAGCTGTAAATGCAATCTTACTAACTGTATCAAAGGTACTTTCCACAAAGTACGAAGTGTAGGCAGAACCTAGCAGATGTTGATCACAGAAAGCTTATACCACAAGGCATTGCTGCTCGGCCACCACTGATCATTTCAGCAGATAAAGCACACAAGCTCCACTAAAATCACTAAAGGCCACTTGGTGCATAGGCTCTAGCCTTGCAAACCAATTTAAAGTGGGCAGCAAGCAGAAAGCTGTCTGCACTGAAATAAGATACCCACATACCAACAAGCACTGGAAATGGGGGGAAAACCAATTAACTTACCTGCAGCATATCATCCACCATTGTTAAAATGTACTGAACCGTTTGTTCCTTGGAGATGTGAGTCATGAGGTTTATGAACGTTTTAGCGCACTAGGGAGGAAAGAAGTAATCCAAAGAAAGTTAGAATTATTCGCAAGTGTTTTCATTCTTATTTTCATTTGGCAATTTTGCAAGCACAGCCTGTGTGAGGAACACTGAAACAATCCAAAGTTGCTTCACTGTAATAATCACAAGTATTGGGAAACTCCTCCCCAGCCTACTACTATTGCACCGGCTACATTCATTTAATCAACAGTCCAAACAGAATTTGGCAATGGGCTCTTGACTGTTTCCTCTAGAATATAAAGGTATGCTGTGTTCAATGCATGCCCTGCGGACACAAGGCCACAGATTAAGAGAACAAGACACAATCCCATAAAATAAAGCTGAGCCTCACTAACTTCAACAAAAATGTGCAAAACTGCCCGTTATACTTTTCGAAATTAACTAATATGGGAGTGGGGGAGATTGATTTTGCTCCTAGTCTGAATAGGAGAAGAGCGCTCCAACAAAGGGTTGCCCTATGTCCGGAATTTCCCAGACATGTCCTGTTTTTTTTGGGGGGGGCGGTATGCCCCTCCAGGCGGAATTTGGCACTGTACTTGAAATGTCCGGGTTTTGGGGGAAGGGGTATTTATTGGGGGAGGAGTTGGAGGGACGCATGTATGCCACCGAAGTGTGGAAGAGGGCAGGCACTGTCCGGGAAGGTCATTTTCAAAATATGGCAACCCTATCCAACAACAATTACTGCATTAAGAGGAGTACTTATACAATGTGTGCCTATACTTTAACAAGCAACTTTTAAATAATATTTACAATGGCTGTAGCCAGAGATGTACAAGTGTCAGTATGCTCGTGCAAGGAGGTTTTTGAGTTGTTTCCTTCTCACTGCAGCCCCAACTTCCCCCAAAGCTGCTCTGCAAAGCCAAGGCACCCTCTGGAACAGTATGGGGTGGGGCAGAGAAAGAAGAGAGTTGCAAGAAAGGAGGGGGCAAATTGCCAGGCAAGGCTGGGAAACTCTGCCTGAAACCCTGCAGAGCTGTTGCCAGTCAGTGTAGACAACAGTGATCCAGATGGACCAATGTTGCGGCTCAGTATAAGGCAGCCTCCTGTTGTCCTATGTAATTAAACTCCTTCTCCAGCTACAACCCAGTGCTCTATGGCACCCTAAGTCACATTCTCTAAGCACCAAGTGTGATTCACACTAGCATGCAAACGGCAAGCAGTTCAACTACACTTTTGGATTAGTTGCACACAAAAATCTGACTGCAATAGCAGAACCCATAAAATGCTCAAAAAGAGGACTGCATATTCAAACAGCGGTCTAAGGCATTCTGACATGACTTATGGACTCGGGTGAAACTTCCATGATTTATTCTGCCTTGGGCAAAGCACACCTGGAATACTGTGTCCAATTCTGGGCACAACAATTTAAGAAGGATGTTGACAAGCTGGAACATGTGCAGAGGAGGGCAATCAAGATGATTAACAGTTGAAGGAGTTGGGTATGTTTAGCCTGGAAAAGAGGAGCTGAGAGGAGATATGATAGCCATCTTCATATATCTCAAGGGCTTTCATATGGCAGAGGGAATAAGCTTGATTTCTCCTGCTCTGGAGGGTAGGACTCGAACCAATGCCTTCAAGTTACAAGACAGGAGATTCCAACTAAACATTGGGGAAACTTTCCAACAGTATGAGCTAATTGACCATGGAACGGTCTCCCTCAGGAAGTTGTGGACTCTCCTTCCTTGGAGGTTTTTCAGCAGAGGTTGGATGGCCATCTGCCATGGATGCTTTAGTTGAGATTCCTGCATTGCAGGGGGTTGGACTAGATGACCCTTGGGGTCCCTTTCAACTCTACAATTCTGGCTTGCATTATTTATGCTTCTTGTCATCATACTCAGTGATAGAAAGAAAGTGCAGAAGGCATACGGTTAATTTACCAGGATATTTTCACAAATGATCTATGAGGAAAGCTGGCACAGAAGCAGAAATATAGATGACAAACTTTTAAAACCAGAATGCCAAAGACAAAACAACCACATACATTGGCTGTTCCTAGAACAGGAGATTGCCCCAAAGAGATGCTGGGTTACCTGGTTGCCTTCATTTTTAATCAATTCTTGTTTCTCTTCTGGGCTCCTTTTCTGCTCGAATCTTTGAATAAATTCACAGTCTTCTGCTGAAATCATCTGCCCTCTAGCAAGGAAAACAAAGCTTTAAAGGCTTCCTGTGCTATCATTGTTTTACTGCTTGTAGATTTAACAGAATATATCCTGCTGTTCAAAAAAATTTCCCCGAGGTGCTAATGTAATAATTTCCTACAGTGACTGTTTAGTGAGCACACTTCCCTTTCCAAACATATTAAATAAATTTGGAGCATGTACTGTGTTTAGCCCAAGAGCATGGATGCTGTCCAAAGCCATTATCTTGCAAGGAAAAGGGCAGTGAAGACCCCAGTGTATCTTTGACGATTCAAAAGCTTCTATGGAGCCAAGGCTAATGGAATTTTTGACTTTTCTTTCCTTGAAGCAGTAAACCCCAACTCCATGCCTAATCATAAACTGCTTTTGAAAGGTCTACAGTGGTACCTCTTGTTACAAACTTAATTGGTTCTGAAGGTCCATTCTTAAGCTGAAACCGTTCTTATCCTGAGACACGCTTCCACTAATGGGGCCTCCAGCACACGATTTCTGTTCGCATCCTGGGGCAAAGTTCGCAACCAGGAGCAGCTACTTCCGGGTTAGCGGAGCTTGTAACCTGAGGCATTCGTAACCAGAAGCGTTTGTAACCAGAGGTAACATTATACTTAGTTTCAAAAGAACTTAAGAACAGACCTGGTGGATCAGGCCAAATACTCTTGTACAGTCTACAAGAACAGCATAAAGTTGACCATGTTTTGAGTAAACTGTTTTCAAGTCTTTATACCCTTGGGTCTGATTTGGAAGCTCCAGCTAATGTAGACTGCAGCAGCCAGATTACTTTTTACCCTTGCTGGTTAAGAATACTTGACACCATTGTTAAAACAGCTGCAATGGCTGCCCATCTGCTACTGAGCCTAGTTCAGGGTTCACGTATTGATTTACAACTTGAATCCAGGATACGTCAGGGATCTCCTGAAACTTTATATTCCAGCTTGATCACCAAGATCATCTACAGGTCCATCTTTGGTCATTCCCTGAGTTCGTGTGGCTCATCTGACAACAATGAGAAACTGAGCCTTTACTTTCCACCAGTCCACCAGTCCTGTGGGAAATCCTGCCAAATAGTTCAGTGGGCACCTTCTGTGCCAGCTTTTAAACGCCTGCTGAAAACCTTTCGGTTCTAGAAGGCCTATGCAGGCAGTTAAGAGTACATCGTCCACAATGGTCGATTGATGTGTGTTTTTAATTTCTCTTTTGCTCTTAACTTGTTCTTAAATGTTATTGTTTCATTTTATGTTTATACATTGTTGTAAACCACTGTGACATTTTTTTTAATGATACAGTGGTATATAAACATTTTTATAAATAAATAAATTATTCAGTGTATTTCTATGTAACATTAACACATATTGGGAAAACCACAGGAAATCATCTATTGATTGTGAATTTCAATGTACTGTACAGTGGTACCTCGGGTTAAGTACTTAATTCGTTCCAGACGTCCGTTCTTAACCTGAAACTGTTCTTAACCTAAAGCACCACTTTAGCTAATGGGGCCTCCTGCTGCCGCCGGAGCACGATTTCTGTTCTCATCCTGAAGCAAAGTTCTTAACCCAAGGTAATATTTCTGGGTTAGCGGAGTCTGTAACATGAAGCGTATGTAACATGAAATGTATGTAACCTGAGCTACTACTGTACTATTTTACCTTCCCTTAAATTTAGAGTTAATTAGCAGACTGCTTAGAAAAGATCATCAAGCCCAAAGAAAAAAGCCTTATTAAAAATATATGTTTTTAAATTCCAAGATAATATTCATTCCTACCATTTCAGAATAGTAACTAATCCTGGACACTGGTAACAATAAATAAATAAAGATTCTTAGACAGCAGTCCTACATCTTTCGGTTCCCCAACACCCTGACAACTTTCCAATGACAGACCAACGTAATTCCAAGGCCATGAGGAAAAACAGCTGCTGATTAGGGATAAAGAACATGTCCTAAGTGATGTTATTCATTTATTTATTTTTTTAAAAAGTCCTTTTGCAGTCAGTCAGTGACACAGTAACTTGTGATTAAGTTTTCCTTTCAATTATAGATTTTCCTTGCAAGAAGTGTAGTTCTTCTGTTCACAGGAAGTAGTAACAGTCATTATTTTATTTTTTTGCAATATTGAATTTGATCAGGCTGTAATCTCATTACTATTATTGTACAATATAATACTGTTCCAATTCTGTAATTATTTCGTCACACAGTGCCTGGTGAATATTAGGTGTTTGCTTTCCTGTGAATTTCACTGGTATTGTTTGTGAATTAATGAATCAAATGGGGGGGGGGTGTTGTAAGTGTATGTGGCCTCAACTATTTAGACATTCCAGCCCACCCTTTGACCTGGCAATGTTCTTTTGTGCTGGTTAAATTCTTTTTTGTGATCTCTATTTAGGTCTTCTACAAACCAACATGCACTTATGAGCAATGGAGCTGTAGGAGGCTTTTGTGTGTGTAGTTAATTATGTAGTTAAATGGCAAAAAGCAATCTTAAGGATAGTGGAATTCCTCAACAAATTGGCATTTTAAATCCTGGACTTTGCCAGACTTCTGAAAAAGTTTATGAAAACTGTTAGGAAAAAATATTTCTATCAATCATATCCATCCATGGAACCCTACCCTTATTTGTTTTAACAAAATATCATTTCTGGTAATAACAGTTAATTTTCACTAACTCAGTATTTTTCCAGTTCTCCTAACAGCATGCAAGACCTTCCATGAGCATAAAAACTGTAACTAGTTTAGAAGCCTAGAGATATATGCTCCTTCTGGGAACCTGTGCCCAGATACTAACTTACTGGAGATATGACTGCCAATTCACTTTGTTGGCTCGAACCTCGGCAGCTTTGGCAGCAATGATATTGGTGGGGACAGCAGCATCTACAGCACCCCGGATATCCATTTTTATGTTGATTTCAAAACCTGTTAAGAAAATAAAGGCTGCTATCAGTTTACATTGAACAAAGTGATTTCAAGAGTTTGAAATTGTGTTTATAAAGCTGCTAAACCTATGAGAAGTGACTATACTTCATCCAAAAGTTTAAACCCCACTGATTTAAAAAAAGAATTAAGCATGATATTGGTGGGGACAGCAGCATCTACAGCACCCCGGATATCCATTTTTATGTTGATTTCAAAACCTGTTAAGAAAATAAAGGCTGCTATCAGTTTACATTGAACAAAGTGATTTCAAGAGTTTGAAATTGTGTTTATAAAGCTGCTAAACCTATGAGAAGTGACTATACTTCATCCAAAAGTTTAAACCCCACTGATTTAAAAAAAGAATTAAGCATGATATTGGTGGGGACAGCAGCATCTACAGCACCCCGGATATCCATTTTTATGTTGATTTCAAAACCTGTTAAGAAAATAAAGGCTGCTATCAGTTTACATTGAACAAAGTGATTTCAAGAGTTTGAAATTGTGTTTATAAAGCTGCTAAACCTATGAGAAGTGACTATACTTCATCCAAAAGTTTAAACCCCACTGATTTAAAAAAAGAATTAAGCATGTACTTAACTTTTTAACACTGAAATTACGGTAATGAGGCTTACAAGTCTGTACATTCCACAGGATTGTTCCAGGTGCAGGCATTTGCATACCTTATTATTTGCTTATTTTCTACAGTTGCTCACTGAAACCTATTCTGCATACACCTCAATTTTCCAGGAATTATGTATTATGCTATCCTGACTGTACACTGATTTGGAATCAAACATCCTCTAACGATTTTCTTTTTAAGTCAAAGGCCCACACAGTTGCAGAAATATTACAATAATATATACAACATGATTAGCTCTGAAAAGATTTCCATGCAATACATAAAGCAGTTTTGAATAAAACAGAACTATAATCCAAATTTAGGCTGGTTTTTGGCAATCCACATAACTTCCCATACCTATATGATACAGGAGATGGCAGGGAGGGACCACCCCCTCCCACAACAAGGAATTAATGATTCCCCGCCAGGGCCCAGCCAGCTGTCCCCTCTCTGCTAGTTTTTCATCAGCCGGGATGGGGGGGAGCAGGGGTCCAGAGTACAAGCAGGCCTTCTGACCAATCCAAGCACCTGGTCAATGTCCTCAAGCCTTACCAACTGAAAGTCATCCAAAACAACAGGACTAGACAGTGCTCTGGACACCCCTTAAGGGTTATCTGCTGTAATAGTGGAGTCAAGATCCCAGTGGATGTAAGCGATGTTTTGCAAACAAGTCACAGCAAGCTGTCATCAGGTCTATCACCTCCTTTGGGCCAGACTGTAAAAGGCCCTTCCCTACCAGGAAAAGCTCTGTCGGACAGCACAATGAGGATGCAATGGAAAGCCTGAATCTCAACAGGAAGTGATCTGACCCGACAAGGAAGTGATGTCAATATCAGATCACCTTCTTCCAGCTCAGCCAAGAAAGCAGGGACCAGAGTGTGACCTGCCACAAGCGTTGGGGCAGCCCCATGGTCGTAATGGCAGTCATGGAGTCCTGGTCCACCCCAGAGCTGACAGCTTCAACATGGATGTTGAAGTCCCCCAACACCAGCAGTCTGGGAGTCCTCAGCATAACCTCCAAGATCAGCTCTATCAGTTCAGCCAGGGAGACTGCTGGGCAACGAGACAGACAGTAAACCAGAAGAATCCCTAATCCCAAAGTCAGGAACACACATACTCTAGATTCTCTCTCTCTCAGTCTCTCTCTCTCTCTCTCACACACACACACACAACTTGACAGACAGCCTGGAGAGAAAGAGTGTTCTCACTTCTCACATTCTATCAGCTCTGGCTCAGGGCCATCCCCCCCACCCCCGAAGTAGCAGCTACTTTGTGGAACACTCTACTTAGAAAAGTTTGTTCACCTCTTTATTTCTTGAACAATTATTCCAACCAAGCTAATACAATTAATTCAAAAAATCCTCCCGTAGGATATAGCTCCTCTGATGCTGGGTATTTTTTTTATTATTGTATTAGGATGGGTGGGGCTTATCACACTTTTATAGTTTACTTTGATAGTGCTCATTCATTTTAGAAAAGTAGTAAGTAAGTAAATAAATCAACAACAACACAAGAAAAAATGTGCAGAATGCCCTTTCATTTATCATAAACTATTCAGTGTTATGTGACATGGGCATGGTTCCAAAAAGGATCTGCACATCTGAGATTGCAGATTTGTTGCCAAATAAGGTTCAGGCTGCTAACCAAACTCAGTTTTCAAGGCAGCAAGTAATTTTGCCCAGAAGCTAAGAATTAACTTGAGTTCTACTTCCTGTGACCTATAACCAATGTCACTTCCCCTTTCCAGCTAAGGAGTAACTTTTCAATTTTTCAACCCTATACACACTTTCTAGCTGTAAGCACATGTTCAAGCATGAACAAGACTGTGCTGCATGAACAAGATTGCACTGAACATCATCCTAAAGTGACACTTTTTTTAAAAAAAAGAGAGAGAATGGAAGTATAGTTTGAATACCAGAATGAATGACCTTCACCACTTCTGCTTTCTATTTTCTTAGGGGGTGTCTGGCCTAGTCCAACTCTGATGCCAAAACAAGCTGCCTGAGCTTTTAATGCATTAAATCATTGTTAGGGCAGAACTCTCCATAAACATCAGATAACTCAGCCTGACTGAACCTGTTCAAACTTCATCAGGACCATTTGCCTACACACGAAAACCATATAAACTGTTTCCTCCTTTCCACTGGAAACATGCAATGACTGTTATTGGATGAAACATTTCCTTCTGCCCTCTATGTTAGTGTCAACAAGATCAAGTCTTGCCTCAGATGAAGGCAGTTGAACAACCATTTTTCAATCTAGCATACAACCCAAGTTCTCCTATATGTACTCCAAAAGTCATTAGCAGTACCAAGCAAGATACTGGTATGATTACAAGGAGCACAAACATTTAACGAAGTGGTGAGAGAAAACCTAATGGTTCAGTAAGCTCAGGGACAGCAAGATTCAGAAAAACAAAACTCTTATAGAAAGACTGAAATAACTAGACAATTCCCATCCCGAGATCAGAGTGGCCCTGTGCTGTTTTGCTTTTTTTTAATATGCACAGCAGCATCTCCATCTTGGCACTTATTTTTCTGCACCACTTAAAGAACATCTAGCCCAATAGCTGAGAGTGCAGCAGAGCAATCAAATTCATGGATTCCAAGACTAGCAAAGGCTGGGATTAGCCACAACAGCAAGGGGGTTCAAAAGCCAGAACCTCAGTAATGCCTCCCAAGTACCAGAGCCTGGAGATAATAGAGAACCACCCTGCTCTGCTTGTGACCTTCCCTGCGGCATCGAGATAATCACTCGTCGCTTAAACAGATGCTGGGAATCCGCAAGAGCTTTCCTAGCTGAGAGTCTTTTGCGGGCAGCGGGTACGTGGGTAGCCCGGGAGGCGAGAACGGGGCGGCCTTCCCTGAGTTCCAGCTGTGTCCCCTGGGCAGTGCGCAGCTTCCTTGCCAGCGATGCTCGCCCGAAGGCAAGCGGGCGCAGCGCCTGTCCCTTCCCGGTGCCCACCAGCCCCACCCCAAGGCCTTCCGCTCCAGCCCCTGTCCCGCTCCCGGGGCTGCAGGCCTCACTTACCTCCTTCGCTTCGTAGGCCGGCGATGAAGTCCCCGGAATCCGCAGCGGCAACGGGTGACCCGGACTCAGCAGCTAAGCAGAAGAGGGACAGCCGAGGCTCACGGTCATGTGACTTCGCTCAGCTGACAACAACAGCGGCCGAGATAGGACGACGCTACGGGTCCCCGGAAGGCTCCGTTCGCGAAGCGGGAAATGTTGGCCAAAAGAGGAGGCGGGGGACGCGGCGAGGGCGAGCGTGCTGGGCCGGTACGTTGGAATGCTGTGTAGACGCAACTTTTATTTCCAGCGTCACAGGACGCTTTTCTTTTTATTTTCTAACGTTATTGGAGGGTTAATGGGAGAGTTTTAAGAGAGCATTTGCAGGCAGCTGTGATAAAACAATTATATAGCCTGGTCCGTGGCAAGTTTAGTAACGCAATGACCTCCAATGCACTCGCCCTCCCGCAGCGCGCGCACGTACACAAACATAGAACTTTGATCATCTGCACAAGTTCCAGCTTGTCCATATCCTTCTTAAATTGTGGTGCCCAGAAGTGGACACATTCCAGGTGTGGTCTGACCAAGGTAGAAGAGTGGTACTGTTACTTCCCTTGATCTCTTACTGTTACTTCTGTTGATGCAGCCTAAAAGAACATTAGCTTATTTTGCTGTTGCTGCATCACACTGTTGACTCGCGTTCATCTTGTGGTCTATTTAAGACCCCTAGATCCTTTTCACGCGTACTACTGACAAGCCAGGGGTCCCCCATCTTATATTTGTGCAGCTGCTTAAAACCTGACATTTTTTTCCAAGTGAAATTCATTTTGTTAGTTTGGGTCTTGTTCTCCAATCTTTTAAGGTCATCTTGAATCCCAATTCTGTCTTCTGCGGCAGACAGAAATGTGAGCTCCTCCTCCCATTTTGGTATCCTCTGCAAATTTGATGAGCACCCCTCAATTCCTTCTTCCAAGTCATTTATAAAGACATTGAACAATAGCAAGCATCTCACTTGTCACTTTTTTTCTCCATCAGTGAGTACTCTTGGGTTTTGGTCAGTCAACCAGCTAAAAATCCACCCAACAGTTACTACATTGTTCAGACCACATTTTATCAGCTTCTCTGCAAGAAGATCACGGGGAACTTTGTCAAAAAGCCTTTCTGAAATCAAGATATACTACATCCCCAGCATTCCCCTGATTCACCAAGCTTGTAATTCTATCCAAAAAAGAAATGAGATTCGTCTGGCATGACTTGTTTTTGAGAAAGCCCATTGCTGGGTTGTAGTAATCTCAACATTCTTTTCTGAGTGCTCATATACAGATATGTTCTAGGACCTTTCCTGGTACAGTGGTACCTCGGGTTACAGACACTTCAGGTTACAGACTCCGCTAACCCAGAAATAGTACCTCGGGTTAAGAACTTTGCTTCAGGATGAGAACAGAAATTGTGTGGCGGCAGCACTGCGGCAGCGGGAGGCCCCATTAGCTAAAGTGGTGCTTCAGGTTAAGAACAGTTTCAGGTTAAGAACGGACCTCCAGAATGAATTAAGTTCTTAACCCGAGGTACCACTGTATTGACATCAAGCTAACTGGTTGGTAGTTACTTGGGTCTTTTCCTCCTTTTGGAAGATGGGGACAACATTTACCTGTCTCCAATCTGCAGGGACCTCACCTGTTGTCAAAGAATTCTCAAAGGTTATAGACAGTGGCTCTGAGATTACATCCGCAAACTCCTTTAGTCAGTGCTTTTATCTGGGGGAACGCATACCCCTAAACATTTTGAGAATCTAAGTTTGGCCTCATTGAGGGGCAGTATTTCAATATGAGTAGGAATAATAATAATAATAATAATAATAATAATAATAATAATTTATTTATTTATACCCTGCCCATCTGGCACAGCATTAAACATTAAAAACTTCCCTAAACAGGGCTGCCTTCAGATGTCTTTTAAAAGTAGAATAGTTGCTTATTTCCTTTACATCTGGTGGGAGGGCATGCCACAGGGCATTCCACAGATGCCACTACCTGGAAGGCCTTCAGCCTGGTTCCCTGTAACCTCACCTCTCGCAGTAAGGGAACCACCAGAAGGCCCTTGGTGCTGGATCTCAGTGTCCAGGCTGAATGATGGGTGTGGAGACGCTCCTTCAGGTATACAGGACCAAGGCCATTTAGGGCTTTAAAGGTCAGCACCAGCACTTTCCAAGCAATTGTGCTTGGAAATGTACCGGGAGCCAATGCAGGTCTCTCAGGATGGGTGTTATATGGTCTCAGCGGCCACTCCCAGTCACCAGTCTAGCTGCCGCATTCTGGATTAATTGCAGTTTCCGAGTCACCTTCAAAGAGCGCACATAGAGTGCATTGCAGTAGTCCAAGCGGGAGATAACCAGAGCATACACCACTCTGGCGAGACAGTCTGTGGGCAGGTAAGGTCTCAGCCTGCGTACCAGATGGAGCTGGTAGCTGCCCTGGACACAGAATTGACCTGCGCCTCCATGGACAGCTGTGAGTCTAAAATGAGTCCCAGGCTGCACACCTGCTCCTTCAGGGGCACAGTTGCCCCATTCAGGACCAGGGAGTCCCCCACACCTTCTCCCCGAAAACAGTACTTCTGCCTTGTCAGGATTCAACCTCAATCTGTTAGCCGCCATCCTCCAACCGCCTCCAGTCACTCACACAGGACCTTCACCGCCTTCACTGGTTCTGATTTAAAAGAGAGGTAGAGCTGGGTATCATCTGCATACTGAGTAGGAAAATGAGAGTACTCCGAAACGTGTGTTTTTTAGAAAAAAAGGACTGCCTTTAGTACCTTTGGATACAGCTCATCAGGCCTTGGAGATTGTAAATCTTTTAAAATAGCCAGATGTTCCCTTACCACCTCTTTTCATAACTTGGAAAATATTTCCTGATATTTGATATACTGTATGAAGAATTCAAATTCATCTTGCTTGTTTCCCATACTCTGTGCAAAGTGGTTGCAAGAAAGGAGAGAGTAGGACACACAGAATGCGGAATGCAGTTGAATATGAAAGCAGGGACGTGAAAGGGTCTGCAGAATAGGAGGGAATGGTGGTTTCATAATTGGACAGAAGTTGAAAAGGGAGCTTAGTAACGAGGAGGAAGATGCAGAAGGTCGCCATGGCTTGTGTGCGAGGGGGAGGAGAGAAGGCATGTGGGGCTGCAGAACAGAAGAGAGAATTGGCATCAGAAATGGGGTTGGAAAGATGAAAAGTGAGTGTGGCAGTTGCATAAAGTAGGAAGGAGAAGTCCTAGAGGGTTAGTGTGGGGGATACTTGGTAAGGGTGGTGGTGAGATGACAATTCAGCCACATGGGTGGGGAATAAATAATAAAATTGTTATTACAGTGGAACCTTGGTTCTCGAACGGCTTAGTTGACTAACAAATCGACTCCCAAACACTGAAAACCCGGAAGTGTTCCGGTTTTCAAACATTTTTCAGAAGCCGAACTTCCGATGCAGCTGTTGGCTATTGTTTCTGGGGCACCTGCACCAAACAGACTTCTGGAATGGATTAAGTTCAAGAACCGAGGTACCACTGCATTATTATTATAGTTGTGCATCCCATTATGTCAAGTAATAATAATAATAACAATCCCTCTTGTGCATTTTGGAAAGTAAATGTTCAGAAATTGAAATCAAAGGCCCACTATACACAAAGAGCTCGCTCTCTGTTTCTCTGGATTGCATCTAATTCAGTGAGACTAATGGCCAGGTACAGGGTTGCGATTAGGCAGAGTATCAGTCTTCTAATGACATATTTCAGTTATATGTAATGTAAACCAACGGCACACCTTCCGGTGGGAACTGCTAACATGGAACAAAACTCAATAATATGATAATTTTTTATTATTATTACAGCAAAAGAAAAACTTCAAATACTTTCACCAAACACAAATTGCAATTTAATGAGATGAAACAATATTCCGTATTTCCTGATGTATGCCTTCATATGTTTTCATTTGATTACAGTATATGACAAAACATCAACAGTTCTCAAGCTTTGTTTTGCTGCTGTAGCTGCAGGTGTTTTAGTTCCTAGAAAGACAATCACTTGGGTTGTCTGGCTTGCTAAACCTACTGCCACTAAATTCCAATTGCACACATGGTTCTTTCCTGTGTACACATGTTCTTCCACATCACTTCCTCCCATGTGTGTTATTGGGGGATAGACAGGGCCTTGAGGGTAATCCCCACTTGTGCAACTGATCTGCTTGTGCAAACAAGACTTCCCCTTCATCTCCACTCTTGCAGCCGGCTGCTCAGTCTCCAAATCTGCTCCAGGGAGTTGGCGGCCCTCTAGAGCAAAGTATGGGGAGAAGGCTGAAAAGGAGAGGAAAGGCAAGACTGGTCACTTTTGCTGGTGTGATCTTGGATCTCACCCAGAATGTATAAAATAACTTGGGGTCAGCCCATCTAACTGTTAGTCCCCACCCTTCATGGTGTTAAGGGTGCCAACAGACTTGACTTATGCAAGGGTGTGGAACTTGTGGCTCTCCAGGAGTCACTAGACTACAGCTCCCACCATCCTTGACCCAATGGCATGCTGGCTTGAAGCCCAACAATATTTGGTAGGCCACAGGGTAGCCTGTCTCTCTCTCTTTGGTCTATGTCCAACACAACCCCCACACTACCATGCAGCCTCCTGTACAACATAATACATAAAAATGCACCAAATATATAAATCACTCTCAAAAGCTGAGCTAACAGGGATTTTGTTCTGCAAAACATAATGTCTGCGAAAGACTGTGCTGCTGTAATTAGATTATAGCAAGCACAGAACAGAGCGAAACCAAAGGGCACCAATTTGTCACAAATATAATTATGAAAGTATTGCTGACAGACTAAAGTGGTCATATCATTAACAGGTTCTAATGAATGAATCCATTATGACAATTTAACCTGGTTTTCATTCTGTAGTCTTCTGCTCCCACTTTTAGGCAGAATGGATGATGGATACATATAATTTAAATGGTGTGGTTTAATGCAACCGGTTAATCAGGTCTTATTTGTAGAGAGAGAGAAATTATTTCTGTGCTATTTAAGCTAGGATCAAAGACCTATTAATAAGCTACCTGAAGTTTTTCAGTGTTCACTTATATCGCTAAAGTCACATTTTCATTTAGACAGGAAGGATTAGTTAAATCTGTTGGCTACTCTGAATGACAAATACCACTGGTCTAAGTTGGACTCAGCAGTTCAGTGTCACGTTCCAATCCCTGTGGAACTGTGTCATCCTTATGCCTAATCTTTTCTGTACAGGACTACACGTAAAAACCAATTCACTGAACAATGCTGCTTTGCTCTCAGTGTTAATTGTCACGGCTACAATGAGTTTAGATGCTTCATCAGATATTCTGTATCAGGATTCATTTTTCTTATTGTTGTTGTTTTAGAATCTTTATCAACTTGCAATCACCAAGCTAAAGCAATCCACTAATACTTGGACTAATACTTTGTGGAATTCAAAGGCGCTGCACAGACAACAGATAATCCTGTTTGCCCTCCCAGCTGTAAGCAGTGCAGGAAAGATTGAATAAACTTCAAGAGAATCAGATACTTGTCCCATTGATGCAAGGAGAAGTTAATCTTACGCTGCTTTCATTTGCTTCAGTGTCTGGATTTGAAGTATATTTTCTATAAAAAAAAACCTGACATTTTCCAAAGAGAACGGAGTGTGGAATTGGATTTAGAAATATGCCCTTTTATGACCTATCAGTGTGGAGGCAATATCTATTTTCCTTCAGGACACAGAGCACAAATACAGAAGATGAAAATGAAGACACCACAGCTCAGCTGTTTTTCAAGGTAAGAAAAAGTTTGGAATAACGAAAAGAGAGGGGCAATGAGTTAAATTAATGCTGTTGCATCACTAATGTTTGGTTCAGAGAGAGGTGGCAATGTCTACAATGTGATTTCTCCTATACGTGATAACAGCAATAAAAAAGATTGCTGCAAAATCATAATGTATAGTTAGGGCCCTGTTCAGGTCTTTCGCCAGCATGGAAAATGAGTCCAGTAGTGCCTTTTAAAACTTGATTTTCTTACTTCTTGGTGGTCTCATTTTAGCTCCGTGTCAGTCCTTACAGAAGCACTGAGTTTACTGTTAAAGGGAGTAATGCATGTGCTCTCAATTGATTCCTAGATCAAACACAAGAATTTTATTTTGCCATGAGTTTAGGAAGCTGCTGCTGTGTCAGTTTCTCCACCTATGAAGTCATGATAAAAAATTTAAAAGCTGCAGTGCTTAAGAAAGAGAAGTAGTGCTGTAAATTGCAAACACTATAGCATTCTTCACCACTTTCCTGTTTCTATATTTAATTCCTCCTTCTCCCAGCCAGTTATCTGCTAAGCATCTCTCTGAGTCCTGCACTACAGGTGCATTGCTCATTCAGGAGATCATCCACAACCATTCAAGGAACACTGATGTTCTTTTGTCAAATCTCAGCATCCATCTGGAAACTTTTTTTTGCAAAAACCACAGTGGCAGACCTGTTCACAAAAATCAGACAGCAAGCCCACAACACAGCCTTTGTGTGACACCAGGTGTGCCTTGAATCACTGACTCTCCCTTCCAATCAAGAGCCCTTATATGTCACCAATTCCTAAGGACTTCACCTTTCGTTTTTAAACTGCACATTTCTAGTCCTCATTGCTACAGAAAGGAATTTAATAATTTAAGAAGTGGTACTGCTGGAGTGGAGAGTCATTTTGATGGGGTTTTCTGGTGGCCAAAAGTAAGGACTTCTCTACTCTATGCACACACACCCTGCCTCTAGAAAGCAACCCTACTCCTCTCTATAAAACTGCCCTAAAAGGAATCCCTCCAACCTTTTCCTCTGACATTCTTTATTTTATCAAGGAGAGAACTATATTCAAAGAAGCTAATTTGCCACATTGAAATCAATCAATCCAGTTGAATTATTTTGTTTTATGAGTGCAGAAGAGGTGGGGCAAGGAAGTAGTACAGAATGTCTGGGCTGTAGTGATGTTCCTGCAGTAATTCTCTGTCCATGTAAACATACACTGCCCTTGCTTCACCTTATAACCTACTTCCTTCCTTCCGCTATAGGACACTCTAAGCCTGTATCAGATCCTGAAGCCTCTTCCTGTTGCTTTCTAATATTTCCACAGGACATTAACTGCCTATTGTCTACTTGACAGTCTAGGTTTCAAATCCTACCAAGACTCCTGGACTTGGATTCTAGCAGCCTGAAATTGTTTTTTCTTCTAGTTTATTTTACTTAATCCTAACCTCGTTCTTTGCTATCCGACAATGACGTTACTTTATTAGTTTCTAGGTTAATCCTCTCTGGTACTGACCCCTTGGCCAGGTTCCTATTGGACTTATTCTCCCTTCCCCAGACTCCATTTCCCTTTTTCTTCTCCATCTTAGTATTTTACCCACAGAGATGGAGTAGCTGGATCAATAGCTTTAAATCCCTACATAAACAGAAGGATTTTTATCCTTTCATTAGGTAAATTTACATATACTGTATGCTTATTCACATTTCCACAATCTAAATTGCTAAAGAAATATTTTAAGCCTTACTAGGTGACATTTAAAGACCTTTTAAAATATTCATCATGAGACTTAGTTTAGCTCTTGAGTCGGTTACATCTAGCTTTTATTTGCAAATGCTGGTGAGGTTAAAATAGGTCAGTTAAAATAGCTTTGTTGCTTTGTTTGGCCTAATTCATACTAAGCAGAGTTTATTATCACAGTCTATGAAAGAACAACCCAGTATTCTTTTGGCATTTCTGTTTTGCATTTATTATATGCCAGGCTATAGTTTGGGGAATAAATACCACACACTTCCATTTTTTCTGTTTATAATTTTACAGTGTAAGTGACTTCTTGTTGCATTTTGCTTTTCTCTTCTGAGTTTATTTTAAGTGAGATTGAAAGCAGAATTTGATAATTTTCTCTATAGATAACTGATGAATGCCTTGAATGTGAACCATTTCATATTGTTCAGGTGTTTTCTGCTACATTATTATTTGTACAGTAGTGCATATTCTATCTTTCTATAACAGGTTCACTCAAGGGAGCCCACTGTCGTTAACTGTGGCCCTAGAACAGTGTTTTTCAACCACTGTTCCGCGGCACACTAGTGTGCCGCAAGATGTTGCCTGGTGTGCTGTGGGAAAAATTGAAAAATTCGAAAGATTTAAAAATAAAGTATTTTATAATTTTTCACATTTCTGTTTACTTACTATTTCATAATAAAGTAATTATAAAATACTTTCTTTGTGTTTATTTGATTCCTATTCAAGAGAATTACTTTATATATAGTCAATATAGGCACAGAGTTAAATTTTTTAACATTTTCTAATGGTGGTGTGCCTCGTGATTTTTTTTCATGAAACAAGTGTGCCTTTGCCCAAAAAAGGTTGAAAAACACTGCCCTAGAATACAGACTCTGAATCAACCCTTTAATCCTTGCCCAAGGTTCCTGGTTTTGCCTTAGGCTGTGTGCACATTGCCATTCAGTGCATTACCACTGCTGGTGTTTGAAGCAAAGTACTTTACATATGATATTACCAACAATTCAAATGTGGCTTCTACTACTGTTTGATGTGTTCACCCTCAGGCCAGCTTCCATATCATTTGAAAACATAAGCCATGGTTAATCTGAGATGTGTACATTGCAGACAGGCTAATAATGGTGCTTCACCCTGTGCTGCCCATGTCTTCCCCACAACTCTGCCCACCCCCATTTCAACTATTCCCTCAGTGTAGCTTTGCTACAAATACACCTAGTGTATTTTGCACACGTTGCCACCATATTATTGCTATTATTAACCTGCCCTTCAACCTAAGGTCCCAGAGTGGATTACAATTAAATCACAATATTTAAACAGTTTGAACATATCTGTCACAATGGCGATGTAGCTGGCACTCCAGCATAGTATTCTATAACCTCTTTGTCAGCTGAACTTAACATTAGATTGTGTCCTGAATCATTTTGGATTCTCCTCTGTATTCAGCATAGCTGTCAACATTTCCCTTTTCTTGTGAGGAATCCTATTCAGAATAAGGGAATTTTCCTTAAACAAAGGGGAAAGTTGACAGCTATGGTATTCAGCAATGCATCAGTAATATACAAATTCTCAACAATAAACAAATACAATCAAAAAAGGTTAAAAAAAAGTCTACATAACTGAATTACAAGTTTGAACAAGTTGGCTGAAATAAAAACATTATAGCTGGGGTCTAAAACAATAGAAGGACAATTCCTGCTCAGTGTTCATAGACCAGGAAGTACAGAGCACATGTGCTGCTACACTAAAGATGGACTCCTCACAGATACCAAATGAACATGGCACTTTAAAAAGTGCTAGCTCTGCAGATGAAAGCAGTCAAATAGGGGTAAGATCAGGCTTCCTCAACCTCGGCCCTCCAGATGTCTTGGGACTACAATTCCCATCATCCCTGATCACTGGTCCTGCTAGCTAGGGATCATGGGAGTTGTAGGCCAAAAACAACTGGAGGTCCAAGGTTGAGGAAGCCTGGGTAAGATGATTCCCCAAGTATACTGGGCCCAAGCTGATCAGGCTCTATATGCTAATCAGAATACCTTGTAGCAGATCAGCAGCTGATGCAGGTCTTTGAGCAGAAGTTTTAATATGCTGTCACACCAATCATGCTGCAGCATTCTGCACTAACTGCAGCTTCTGCACCAGCCACAAGGGGAGCCCCACAGAGAGTGCATGGCAGCATTCCACTCATGAAATTACCAGGGCCTGGACTGCTATGGTCAAGCTATCCCAGCCCAGGAATGTCTGCGGCCAAAGCCGATGGAATCTCTTCCTGCAGACCCTCATTGAAATAAATAGAAATTGTGCAAGTGTTCAGCTGTGGATTGTATTGAGATCTCTCCTCCCACACTGACTGAGGTTCTGTGTTTCCTGGCAAGGAGATGCACTGAAGACTGCTCTTACTGAATGGCTAGTGGTCATGCATCTGTTAAGTGTTAAAGGCAGGGGGAAGTGGCAGCCTAATAGTTTCCACTTGCCCTAAATGGAACATGGCTTCTAAATATGGTACATGAAACAACTAAATCTTCCCACTCCTGCTGACAAGAGGAAATTAGAAGCCAGCAGTTAAGTGTTGGGGGAAAGGCAGCAAGTGGCAATAAGAGGATCCCCACTGGATCAGACCAACAACCTGTCTAGCCCTGCAACCTGTTGTCCATAGTGACCAACCAGATGTCTATGGGAACTGGCTTCTCCTTTTCTTATTCTCCACCAACTGGCATTCAGAATGCTGCCTCTGATTCTGGAGCTTTTGATGCATTCGTTTATTAGTTAAATGATTTACAAGCAGGTCTCTCTATCCCGATGCTTGTTATATGAAATTTCACTTATTCCAACAAGAGAAATAGTACCCAAACCTCACTATAAACACTGCAGATTCAGATATCCAAACAGCCAGACCTGTGTAAACAAACCAGCAGCTTTAAACAAACCTTCATTTTTGTGTTTTGCTGGTCTACAGCAGCTGTTTTGCCAGAAACCATGAGGGGAGAGGGGGAGAGATCAGACAAATAAGAGAGCATTTTTCCTTTCTTCGTTTGCCTTTCACAAGGTTTCAGAGGGTTTTCCTAGTTTTTCCCCATCATTTTCAGGTCAAAATTCCATGGTCAGAAACAGATTAGAAATTTCCCCATAGGAATCAAGGGGAATTGTCAACTCATTATGCAAATACTAACCTAACAAACATGGGACGCGAGTGGCGCTGTGGTCTAAACCACAGAGCCTAGGGCTTGCCGATCAGAAGGTCAGTGGTTCGAATCCCTGTGACG